GCTCACCCGGCAAGCCTGATCCAGCCAGCGCTTCCCGATGCTTCCGAGCAATGTTTGCCTTCTTCCAGGACGGCAGAGCCGTCCGTGCAGAACCGCTCCTGCATTTCCAACCCCCCCCTTCCCTTCATCAGGCTGAAGAGGCACCAGGTACCCCCCCGAGCAGGGGAGAAGCTGATGTTTCATAGCTAAGCAGCGACCGCCATCTGCGTTAAACCCTGTCCTGGTTTTTACGCTGAGCTTTCGGGTTCAGTACATCGGGTATTTGTCCCTTTTAGTTCCCTGTCCTTCTGTACCTCTCATTCCTGCCGCTGCTGCAGAGCGCTAACGAGGGAGCCCTTCCCCAGCAAATATCTACTCGCCCGATGCTTTTCCACCTAGAAAGAGGGTGGCAGAGATTGCCTACGTCCTTCGCAAAGGGGCCAGAGAAGCTCCATGAGAGTCTGTTGGCAGCGGCAAAATTAAATAACAGCTCTCAGAAAAGAATAAATCCAGCTCTAGCGGGGTGAATTTAACCAGAAGGGGTGGCAAGTTTGGAATCCACGGAAGGGTCGTCAGCAAAAAGCCATCCACGACTTCAGCTCTCTGAGCAGAGAGGACCAAACGTAACGGCGCAGATGGGAGCAAAGCCGAAGCAAAAAGCAGAGCTGCTAGGTCTGAGCCAGCAGGGTGCCCTGGTGGCCAAGAAGGCCAATGGCATCCTGGGGTGCACGAAGAGGAGAGTGGCCAGCAGGGCGAGGGAGGTTCTCCTCCCCCTCTACTCTGCCCTGCTGAGACCCCACCTGGAGCACTGGGTCCAGTTCTGGGCTCCCCGGTTCAAGAAAGATGAGGAACTCCTGGAGAGAGTCCAGGGGAGGGCAACAAGGATGATGGGGGGACTGGAGCATCTCCCCTAGGAGGAAAGGCTGAGGGAGCTGGGCTTGTTCAGCCTGGAGAAGAGAAGGCTGAGAGGGGATCTCATCAACACCTACAAATATCTCAAGGGTGGGGGGCACGAGGACGGAGCCAGACTCTTCCCAGTGGTGCCCAGCTCCAGGACAAGGGGCCATGGGCACAAACTGAAGCAGAAGAGGTTCCAGGTGAACGGGAGGAAGAACTTGTTGACTGTGAGGGTGCCCGAGCCCTGGCCCAGGCTGCCCAGGGGGGCTGTGGAGTCTCCTTCTCTGGAGATCTTCACCCCCCGCCTGGCCGCTGTCCTGTGCCCCCTGCTCTGGGTGAGCCTGCTTGGGCAGGGGGGTGGCACTGGGTGAGCCCCCGAGGGCCCTGCCAACCCTTGCCAGTCTGGGATTCTGTGTTTGTTGGGGGGGTAGAGGGTGGTTTAAATGTCTACCCATATTTCTTCATGACATTTAAATGAGTCAAACACCACTCCTCCAGCAAATCACTGACCTGTGTGGCTTAACATGCTCCTAAAAAATGGAAATCAACTGCTCTGGCTGCAAAGCCCGAGCATCGTCCTACGTCTGGGGGCGGAGAACGTCCCAGGGGTGGGTACGCAGAGGCACAACGCACCCCACAAACGGGCATCCCCAGATTTGTGTCTCTACACTCACAGCCAGCTTCGCCATCTCAGTCCTCTGTGGAGAGCAAAATATCTCCTACAACTCCTGTTTGCTTTGAAGGTAGTTCTTAAAAATCGCAGAAATTATGAACGAACACTGAAAATACCAACCACGGACCCGGTAAGCAAAAGCCACCGAGACAGCTAAAGAACATCTCAGCGTTGGCAGCGCTTTGACATCTCCAGATGGCCGTAGCCGCCCCATAGGGCAGCAGCTTGGGCAAGTGAATCGCGACGGGAATCCCCTTCAACCGTCCTGGGTCATCGTGAGACCGCGGGGAAGAACGTTCCCATGCTTCAGTGGTGCTTTCAAGGATGTGGGCCAAGACACCACCATCCCGAGACAGAGGAACCGAAAGAGGGGTACGTCAGCTCCTGCTTAGGTGACAGGAATAGGGAGCGCAGAAAAGAGGGCAGGTTAGGACAGTTTTAGGAGAAAATGCACGTTCCAGAGGGAAAGGGCAGCTCCGCAGAGAAGGAGAGGGGACAACGGTAAGTACTGGTAGACGGGCTCGGCGTTCCGTGCACGCACTCCGCACAGCGGGATCCTCCCCGTGCTCTTGGCAATTACAGCAACAATAAAAGCAGCAGGTATTGATGCCGAAGAGCCTCCAAACCCACGGCCAGCCGGCACTACCCGCCAAGGGCTTGGCAACCAAAACTCGCCGGGATATTAGCAACAAGATTATTTTATTCCACCTTGGACACACCCGACAGGGTCAGCGTGCAGTTTATAGGTGCCAAAAGTAATAATAATAAACGGACAGCAGCAAGCTGGCAGCCCAGAAGGCCAACCGTACTCTGGGCTGCATCAGGAGAAGCATGGCCAGCAGGTCGAGGGAGGTGATTCTGCCCCTCTACTCAGCTCTGGTGAGACCTCACCTGGAGCCCTGCGTCCAGCTCTGGAGCCCTTAGCACAAGAAGGACATGGAACTGTTGGAATGGGTCCAGAGGAGGGCTACAAAAATGATCCGAGGGCTGGAGCACCTCTCCTATGAGGACAGGCTGAGGGAGTTGGGCTTGTTCAGTCTGGAGAAAAGAAGGCTACGGGGAGACCTGATTGCGGCCTTCCAGTACCTAAAGGGGGCCTATAGGAAAGATGGGGAACGTCTTTTTAGTAGGGCCAGCTGTGGTGCGGAAAGGGGAAATGGTTTTAAACTAGAACAGGGTAGGTTCAGGCTAGAGGTAAGGAAGAAATTTTTTACAATGAGGGTGGTAAAACACTGGAACAGGTTGCCCAGAGAGGTGGTGGAGGCCCCATCCCTGGGAACATTCAAGGCCAGGTTGGATGGGGCTCTGAGCAACCTGATCTAGTTAGCAGTGTCCCTGCTCACTGCAGGGGGGTTGGACTAGATGACCACTAGTGGTCCCTTCCAACCCTAAACATTCTATGCTTCTATGATTCTATGATTCTAAGCGAACCCTTCACCCCCGTGAGTGCGTTCGCAGCGGGGCCAGAGGCCGTTCCTAAGCACGCACCTCGCTCAGGGCCTCCCACGTGGCCCCTGAACGCTCCAGGATTACCGTTCCGCTACAAGAGCATCACGGAGAAGCACGCGACGGCAAGCGCTTCGGGAGCCAGCTGAGATCTGCCGCCCCCGGAGAGCGCGGGAAGGGCAGAGCGCCTGGCCGGGCTCTTTGGCAAAGCTGCGCCGGTGCGGAGGGGTTCGCTCGCTGCGCTTTCATCTTGCGGGTGCACAAAGCCCGCTCGCTTGCTCTCCAGGAACCGCGCGGCCTCAGCTCCGCTCCTCTGCCAAAAAGCTCTTGGCGGGGGTTTGAAGGATGCGCCACGGAACCGGGGGAGCTGTTGGCAGCTTGGCTGGGGTCTGGGGTGTCGGGCACTACGAACTGCGGGGAACAGCCCGTGGAAATATCAAGGGAACAGAGAAAGATTAGAAGGCACAAAGCTCAAGAGTAGGAACCAGAAGCCAAGAGATGAAGAAATCTGAAGACGCTTCGTGTTTCCCGAGGCGGCTGCGCATCAGAGCGGAGCGAGGGCAGAGAACGCAGGCGGCAGCGGGCGGTGCAAGCGGAGGAGGTAGTGACGGGCTCAGCGTTTATTTTAACTTTCCAGATAGGCTCTTCCCAGATGAAATAGGAGATCAGCCTGTCCAAATGCTCTTACAGCAAAGGAACGATGAGAATGAAGACACGGAGAGACACTTAAAGCAGGAATAATGCAAAGAACGTGGATTTACTTTGCGAGGACTGGGAAAAGAGGTGTTTGTCAAGAGAGAACAACCAGGAATCACCCGCAATGCGATGCAAGAACCTGAACTAAAAGGGCTCTTGGGCTCCTCTCCTGCCGTGATCTATGGCAAGGCCAGGTCACAAGCATTAGCATTTCCAGGCTTTTCAGAAGCAGCCTAATGATCACAGAGCACAAACAAAGCAAAAAAAAAAAAAAATAATAATGCAGCATGTCAGGCTGTTTGCTGCTCCAGCCGGCCAGGGCACGTAACCCCACCACCCCAGGACACAGTTCCAATGGCACAGAGAAGGAAAGAGGCACGCACAAGGATTGCGTATTCCAGGACATAGCGGAGGTACGCTCAGGTCGGAAGGGACTTTCTAGTGCAATATTGCGACCCATTAAACAGCACCAGGCTATTACCGAAACATATTTCCTTTTTTTTTTTTTTTTTTTCTCTGAAATCTACCTTCCTCACCTGGAGTCACCTCCCCTCTCGGGTTGGGAGGTCCCTGGAGGCACCCACCCTTGGGTAGGGAGGTCCCCCGAGGCACCCAGGGAGGTCCCTGGAGGCACCCACCCTCAGGTAGGGGCACGCACCCTCGGGTAGGGAGGTCCCCTGAGGCACCCACCCTCGGGTAGGGGCACCCACCCTCGGGTACGGAGGTCCCCCGAGGGACCCAGGGAGGTCCCTGAAGGCACCCAGGGAGGGCCCTGGAGGCACCCCCCC